AGAAAGATGGGGCTATTGCCAGAACAACGGTAAGAGGAACTCACATTCCTAGCTTCCAGAAGATCCTAGATTTGGCTGGGGTCCCTGAGCCCTCTGTTGTAGGGCTTCTCCTTATTTGCTGCCCACTAGGCTGACTTCTTAGAATCTTCTCTTGGAAAACCTTCAGTGTTCATTTCCCTAGCCTGTGTTCTGCTTGCCTTTTATGATGTCACTTCCTGGCTTGCTGTTCCCCTGAGACCACTTAGGCAAACTCCCACTCTATCTTGTCTCCCTCTCTCCGCATTCACTCAGTAGTCTCCCTGCAGGGATGGCAGGCAGCTTTTTAGAATGAGAAGCAGTGTCAGGATAACAGTGAACTATGCTTAGTTTGATCGATAGCAGGATGAAAAGGGAAAATTGAAGTTAAGCCTCTACCAATTCAGCAGCTCTGCTCCTTTGACCCAAGAAACCAAACTTTTCTCTCCCTAAGTCTAACCAGTGTTTTTTCATCAAATACCAGATTATCTAGAATATCAAGAAGCCAAGCAAAACAATAGTTTCTAGAGGTATTCCACTAGTGAAAAAATGAGGAAGTATAATCTGAAAAGGTTTTTTTTATCAGAAGCTGGGAAATTGTGCCCTAAATCCTGTATATGTTTTATTGTTGTTGTTGTTGTTGTTGTTGTTGTTGTTTGGGGGGAGGCAGGGGAGAGGGAGAGAGAGAATCTTAAGCAGGCTCCACACCCACTGCGGAGTCCAACGTGGGGCTCAGCCTCACAACCCTGAGATAAAGAGTCAGCCGCTTAACCAACTGAGCCACCCAGGTACCCCATGTCCTATATACTTTCAGCCCTATAGGAGCTGGCTTGCCTTTCAGCCCTATAGGAGCACTCCTCTTAAGCTAATTTCTATTACAATGAGAACACCAGCGCCTTTAGAAATCCCTGTTGTCGTCCTTCTTTGAAATGATACTGTGTTATGGTAATATGCTACCTCTACTATACCCACATCTTGGTTCATGAGGTTTATATGCTGTCCTCTGATTGGTTGGGTTGACCTTCCCAGGACATAGCGAAGGTAGCCCTTGAAAGCTATAATTAAAAAAAAAAAAAAGGCCCAAGAAGTCCAGAGAGCTCCAAAAGTTAGGTAAAAGCAAGGCGGTGGGCAGGGTGGGGGGAGGGAGTGTCAGAAGTAGGGAGGAACGATCAAGGACTAACTTGGAAGTCCTGCTTTCTTGGATATCTGGATCTAGGCACATCGTCTCCCCTCATGTCTACCGGATCACTCATCACCTAGATACTTTTTTATTAAAGTTCACCCCAAAACCAATTGATAACACAAATCTTAACATGCCTTAAAAAAATGATAAACAGCAGACTGTGATACTTGCTTTTAGTTGCTCCTGGCAGGCAGAAATCAGTGTCATTCATCAGCTTCCTACTTGGCGGTCTGTGGGAAACATCTGCAAGTATGCCTGTAGGGACAAGAACTGGTGTAGCTTGCCCAGGTTTGAGCACCCTTAGCATTACCTTCCTCTGCGTGCTGTCATCTGTGGAGAGATTTGTTTAGGCCTCTAGAAAACCCTGTGGAATCTACCTTTTCATATCCAGGAACCCAATTGCTGCTTGGTAGCTCTAACCTATTTTTTTGTTTTTAAGTGTTTAAATTTTACGTCAACCTCCTCCGTGGCCGCCGTACGGCATATCCAGCCATACTATACTGTCACATATCTGTCTGAGAACTTTCTTGGGGGTGACAACAGGATATAAATAGCTTCATAGTGTTTCCAGACTGTCCTAAATGAAAAAGGTTAATTATATGTCATTCTTATAGGAATAAATCAGTGGAAATGATTAGCGTGCTTTGATATCTATATAATGGCCAAAACTGATACCTGGTAAAATTCCAATTTCCTTGTCTTAGTGAAAAGAAACATTGTTTCTTCACTATAGAGGCAACTGTCAGAGTCTACAGGGCTGGCTGAACTTAAAGCTGAAAATGTAGCTAAAATCTTACCCACCAAATTAGATATTTACAAAGAGGAAACTAAAGCATTTTCAAGTGAGGTCCCACATTTTAGGAATAACAAAGTCAATAGATAAAAGTGATTTGTCAGTAAATGAATCAGGTCTCAGTCAGTGAATACCATGCAGGGTAGACTTCTATTTCAGTTAGGAGGAAGCAAAAGAAGGCACAAGGCAGAGCAGTTTGATTATATATGGGTCCTTTTCCATAACTAAGAGATGGTGTGGCAGTTCTGTCTTTGGAGAGACTGACAAGAATAGTTCTCCCAAGGGCGGGGTGTGGGGGGAGAACGGTTCTCCCATATGGACAGTGAAGTTTGAAAAAGGCAGCTTTGCCTAAGTAGCAAGAGAAAGTAAACGGTTTCCTAAACTGTTAAATTGTTTCATTTGGTTGTCTGTGAGCTCAATTCCCTGAATCAAAAGTCCTAAGTTAACTTACTACTCTGACATCAGCAGCCAATATAGTATTTTTACAACCATAAAGGGAATGGGGGAGGGGGGCAGGGCAGGAGAGGAAGCTGACATTTTAAGAATATACTTCCTCATAAGTATCACATTTAATTTTTACCATAAGAGTAGCTGGTAACTTGCACAAGGTCACGTAGCTAGAAGATGTCAAAGCAACGGTTAGTGCTCAGGTCCAGCCAAGGATGTCACACTCTTACCCAGAAACATTAACAGTTTAGTTCAGTGAGTCTTCACTGAGCACCCATCGTGTTCTGGCACTGAGGATGTAACTGGGAATAAGTGCATGGATCACCGGTAGGGAACCCCCCCGCCCATAACAACATGTCTTTTTTAAATGTATGGATGTATGTCTTTGTATTTCTCTAACCTTCTCTTCTCAAAATTCATGACTTTTAGGAAGCCTTTGTAGTTGGAGCCCACTGATTACCACCCTTACCTCCTTAGCACTTACTCACATGTGTTCCTTCCCTTGCTTCAGACAAGCTTGTTGATTATGTTCATGGTGCTCTCCTGACTCACGCAGCTTACCCTGTGTATTCTTCCTTGGTGCCTCTTCTGCAGGGCTTTGCACGCAGTAGGTTCTTAAATTCACGAGATCCTTAACATTTGCTGGTATGGAGTTCATTCTTAATTCATGAATCTTTGCCATGTCAGTTTACAGTTTTCCTGGGATATGAATTTGAATTCACCCAGATGCCTTAAAGCCTGGATCTTATCACTAAGCTGGTGAGTGGGCATCGCCAACAGTCTAGCATCTCAGTTTTCACTTGAGTAGACTTGAAACGTGTTTATACATTAAGTAATTCTCGAGAGGTGATTAAAATTTAGTTTCTTTGTTCCAAAATAGGATTCAAGTAAGAGAAACAACCTTAGTTAATGTTGATAAAGTAGTCATTGATAGTGTGGGCTAGGCATATGACTCTCCCTGAAGATGAGTTATAAATGTGAGACAGGGAAATTCCTCAATTCCAGATTCGTAAGTTTTAGGACACTACAACTCCCAAGTGTATGATAATGCTAAAGAGGCACTATATACTTTTCTTACTGGCTTCCCCATCTCCAGTGGGACACATCCTCACATTAAAAAGCCTTTGTTTAGTCCAGTGGTGCTTGACCAGGGCTGTACCACAGAATCACCTGGGGGACTTTTAAAAAATACATGTAATGGGGCGCCTGGGTGGCTCAGTCATTAAGCGTCTGCCTTCGGCTCAGGTCATGATCCCAGGGTCCTGGGATCGAGTCCCACATCGGGCTCCCTGCTCAGCGGGAAGCCTGCTTCTCCCTCTCCCACTCCCCCTGCTTGTGTTCCCTCTCTCGCTGTGTCTCTGTCAAATAAATAAATAAAATCTTTAAAAAAAAAATACATGTAAGAAGGCCCTACTCTAGACCTAGGGAAAGAGAGTCTCTAGGGTTGATGTTGGGATATGTACATTTTGAAAAAGTCCACGAAAGAATTCTGATGAATATACTTGTGGTTTAGAGAGAGAATTCCTTTCAGCAAACACTTTTGGACAGCTTTAGGGGGTAGTATATATTGTGCTGTCATGTTGTGTTGGTTGACAAACCAGTGGCTTCCAGGGACCATTTAATGCTTCTTCAACAAAGCAGTGTCATTGAGCGACTCCTCAGTAGTCAAAGGATTTATTATTTGTTCTGTAGATTATTGGGCCCTTGTTTCTCCCATTTTTTGTGTGTCCTTGAGGACTTTGTTGTTCTTCAGTATCTCCAAAGAGAAAATAAGTAAATACATTCAAATCAACTGAGTTTTTATTTGCCTGAGTTTCTTTAAAAAAAAAAAAAAAGTGGAAATAAGAGGGTAATGGTCATCTCTGATTTTTTAAAATGTAAAATATCGACATAATCATTTTTTGTTGTTTGTCTTTACAACCATAGATAGACCATCAATAGATAACCAAGCTTACAGTTTGCATCTACAAAACTCCTTTCTTCTGAGACCTCAAAGTACTTTCTTATTCTTTTCATTTTCTAACCACCATCCTAGGGACTAGGAATGGGACTTAATCGTTCCCTGCACTCTCTTGCTCACCTTTCACCAGAGGTCTAGGATAAAGCGAGGAACTGTCCTGAGTTTTAATATTTGTAGATTACAGTATTCACTCAGGGCAGGGTTGGGGGTTTGTGAACAGAAGGAAGTTAATAGAATGGATATTGAGATCCAGAGAGGCTAAATACCGCACAGAAAATCAGTACCTCCTAGAGCACAAGCATGGTTTGTTAGTTGGGTGGTGGATAAGGGTGGGGGTGCAGTTTTTGATCATTTTACAGTTTGCTGACTTCCAGTTAAAAAAGATGCTTTTTACCCAAAGTCTCAAATCTACTGAGTCACGGAAGACTAGCTTAAGTAGCCTTTTGCGCAGTCATTGAATTGCTTTTCTTAAATTGCTCCCATATCTCCACCTGTGAAGTTGAGACATCTGATTTGAAAAGTGCATTTATAAATGGAAATAATAATTATCAGTTCCTTGCTAATGCTGGTTTTGTTTTTGTTTTGTCTTTTCCTTTCTCTAGCATGAAAGACTTTCTAGGTAAGACCTTTCCCTGTTTTATATGCATGCTTAATACTTGTGAGAAGTGCATGTCTAATTAAACTTAGCTTTATATCATGTGCTCATATTTCTCATTTTCCTTCCTTTCCTTCCTTTTCATTTCCTCAGCCACCACAGTAGTTCAGACTTTTATTATTTCCTGCCTAAGTTAATGCAGTAGCTCTTCAACTCACCTCCTGCCTTCAGATTCTCCTCCTTCCAATTCATTTTGTATACCTCCACCACATTAATTTTCCTACAGCATCTACCAGGCACTGTGCTACAGAAACAACATGAATACAACCCTATCCTCACCTTCAGTAAGGGCCAGGATAGTGGTATGGACAGTATTATGAGCAGAGAGAAGAGGCTATTAGCCTAATCTGGTGGTTCAAGAAGACTTTGTTGCAAGATACATGCCGAATTGAGATTGAGTTTAGACACTGTCATTTAATAGTGGATCTAACACAATTCCTTGTACCTAGATGGTGCTCTGTAATAATTTATTGAAAGAGCTAAAGACCAGTGTTGCAATTGCTGAAAAATTAAGGAAGCAGATCAGAGTTTGGGGAATGATCCTTTCTAATTTTTCACCTAGCATCTGAGGATACAAAAATGATCTTCCTGAAGAACAAAATAAAAAATAGTAAAGACTGTGGAGCCAAAAGTATGAACCTCTCCCTTTCCACTTTTTCTTTGATAGAGAAATTAAGAAGAAATTGAGGGAAAATGTAGTTATGGGATAGCATAGGGCAAATGAGTCTTATAATTTGTTTGATAATTGAGCTTATTGTACCTTAATGATATATTTCAAAATGTATAAACTTGCATGGATTCTTCCTCTGCTCACCCTCTCACCAGGCACCAGCTGAAGATAAATAATTTACATCTAACCTAGCAGAAAATTAGTTTTGCAAAATTGGTGGAGAGCGGTTATTTTGCTATAGTTAATTTTTTGTGGATTCTGTTACATTATTATAGCCATTTATGAAAAGAGACTTTCCCTATAGACCTCAAAATATGCCAAAAAACTAATGGTTAAAACAGTGGGGTATTAGTTCAAGAATAAACAAAGATATCAGTGGAACACAGTATAGTCCCCCAAAAGTCATATATATAAGGTGATTTGTCAACTCTGTGGGGGAACAGTTATTTAATAAGTGATCATTGGGACAACTGACCGTCTGTTTGGGAAAACAGATCCTTCCCTGAAGCCATACCAAAAAACAAAAACAAAACCAGATTCCAGGTGGATTACAGTTTTTAAGAGAAAATGATTTTACTACAAAAGCAATAGAAGAAAATATTTGTAATCTTTATATAGGAAAGACTCTCCCAGGCATGGTACCATAAAGGTAAAAATTGTCCAGTTTAGTTACATAAAATGTAAAATCTCTGCTAGTAATAGACACCACAAACAGAGACAAAAAGTAAAGTGGGAAAAAATATTTGCAGCTTATGTTGTATAGTTTTAAAAGCTTTGCTATATAGGATGCTCCCACAGTGTAACAGGTGGAAGATTAACAAAGGCTCTGAATCGACAATTCAAAAATGAAGATAAATAATCAAAGATACTGAACCTTCCTAGTGATCTACAAATATTAAAATTAATGACAATGTTTCTCCTATTGGATTAGAAGGGATTAAACTCTCTGAAGGACAGTATGACAATACATATATCAAAATTTAGAATAGACTTACCCCTTGACCAAAGGGTTCCACTTCTAAGATTTTATCCTAAGAAAATAATCGGGCAAATGCACTAAAATTTATAGACACGTCTTCTCACTGTAGCATCATTTCTAATAGCTAAAAAGTTCAAAATAATATAGGTGTCTGTCACTAGAAGATTCAATTACCATACATCACACAGTGAAAGACTGTGCGGTCATTTTTTTTTTTTTTTTTTTTTAATGAGACAGATCTGTTTACTTACATGGTAAGATGCCTCCGAGCGTAGTGATAAGTGGAGGGAGGAGGAGGAGTTAGACAACAGTATGTATTATCTGGTTTTATTTATAGAAATATATACATTTTAATGTATCTATGTGTTTAACCTTTTGCAAGGATATGAAGTACCTGTTAATAGTGGGTTATTTCTTGGGCAGGATTATGGAGTGACTTTCACTTTCTGTTTTAGACACTTTGGTACTACTTACATTTTTCTGCAAGCATGTATTGCTTTTGTAATCAGAAAAGTCAGTGAAGAGGTTTCTGTTTACAAATTTAAAAAAAAAAGTGTAAGAAAAAAAGAAAGCTGTGAAGAATGTTGTAGGACTTATCATCTCTGTAAGACAAAGTGGCCCTTAATGCCATTAGGAGCTTTGCCTCTCCCCCGCTGTGTCCTCCTGATTGCTCCTCTACTTCTTCTGATACGTATTCCAGCTCCCCCACCCCCAACTTTGGCAATAGCTACCACAGGACAGAGCCTTAAGATGGAAGTCCCACAGCTGTGACTCTGCACACCATCCCAGTTTGGGGAGGGAGAGCTCTGCAGGGCTGGTTTGTACGTAGCAGTCTTGTGGGCCACATTTTCATTTGGAAAGAACAAAGTCTAAGAAAAATGTAAACCACTGTTAAGAATCAGGGTGATCGTTGTAACGCTTAAACAGATAATCAGCTGAGAGACCTTTCCACTAATGAACTTACCACTCCTGGAAATGAGGCCACCATCGACTCTCAGAGCTCAACTGCTGGAAGACGTAGAAATCCTCATCACAGGCTCACAGCCGCAACGTGGACTGGAGAAGAGAGGGTAGAAAAATAGCTGTTTGGGCACGGAGGTGGTACCCTGAAATGTTTGAGATTCCAACAAACCTGCAGTGCACCTAAAAAACATATGCGCCATGCCCTTGTTGTCATTGCCGCCCCCACGCCCTCCAGCTCTGAACTCCCAGGTCCACATGTTTCTGATTCGTTGACAGTTCGTTGGAATCATTGTCTGAGAGCCATTGAGATCCAAAAAAATTTCTGCTTTTAAAAGCACACTCTTTGAGGAAAGCTGTTCAACCCCAAACTAATTTGAAAAGCTCTAAGATTTAAGTCCGCACATGGATCCAAACCGCCAGTTTTTCAAGTAAGCTCCATTCTTGGCAAATGATGGCCTCCTCCTCCAAGCTGGCGCAGCTTAGCCCCGAGGTCCGAGAATGCTGGCCGAGGAGATTCAGGGAAGGAATGTGTGTTGTTTCTGGCCAAGGCGCTCAAGTGCCTCTTAGAAAAGGTGCAAACTACCCTGAAGCATTACCTTCCTCCCTCTCTTCATTCTAAAAACCAATGTTTACCTTTAATGTATCTCCCACAGGTTGGAATCAGGAGGTAGTAATCCTACAAGCAGCGATTCTTACGGTGACCGGGCCTCAGCAAGAGCCCGCCGTGAGGCCCGGGAGGCCCGCCTTGCCACCCTGACCAGCCGCGTGGAGGAGGACAGCAACAGGGATTATAAAAAAGTAGGCTCCCTTTTCAACTTTGCTGTTGTTGGGTTACAACACGTAAACCTCTCAGCCTTTTCCCCAATGTAGAAAAATGATTGTAGTTCCCATGAAGCAGAAGAAAAGTGCTTTACGTGATAAAGAGTAGCAACTAATTCCTTTCAGGTGTCTTGGTTTGTTCCACCTCTCTACCAGCTAAACACAGACCATTTCATATATTGTTTTTAGTGCAGTAAATATATGCCTCGAATCAGATATTTAGAAGTGTAGGAAAAAGTAAAGATTGACAATTGTATGTAGAAAGGGGAAATAAAAGTAGTGCTGTGTGTCTGAGCCCAGAGAGTCATTTGGTAAGACTCATGTTATTAACAGACATGTGCTTTTAATGAGGTCCTGTGAATGTCAACCAAATACTTCTTGGTGATGGTAAATGATAATCTGGTTTGTTGGGGCCTTAAAACACTTTACAGTTCATTGCCTTTGGCTCTTGCAGAAGAGTACCTAGTTCCAGGGGCTGACTTGAAAACCTTCCCTTTCGAGTGCTTGAGATGCCAGGGGAGAAAACCATTTTTGTTAATGAAATGTTTGTTTTGTTAATGTCGTGTTAAGCAGAACTTGACTAAAATCAATATACACACTAGACTGGCTCTAAAGAAATAATTCTCTTTGTATGGGGAACGACAGTGACTATTTTTTCCCCCAGAGATTAACATTTTTGAAGTTGGAGCACCATTCTGTTTGTGTCCAGCACCTGGGACTTCACCAATGTTAAGAAGCAAGAGACCAATTGGCTGAATATATTCTGTTTCCTAGACTTCCTCCATCTTCTCCATCTGTCCCACAATAATGGTTTGGGGTGGGGGGGTGGTTCTCATAGGATGAAACTGTGTGAGTGCTAATCCTGCAAGCCCTGCCTGGTAGGTGACCTGATTCTCTTTCCCTCCCCTCAGCTCTATGAGAGTGCCCTGTCCGAAAACCAAAAATTGAAAACAAAACTTCAGGAGGCCCAGCTAGAGCTAGCAGATATAAAGTCCAAGCTTGAGAAGATGGCCCAGGTAAGAGAGAAAAGGAAAAAACCTGGGTGGCAGGGTGAGTATGAGGAGGCAAAGCAACTTAGGGTCTGAGAGAGGGGAAGTGACATGGAATTAAGATTGGCCCTCCTCAGAGACCGGAAGACAGAAGCCCCTGAGATTCTCATCTGATTTCAGGGTTCAATTGGCATTTCACTTAAAACGGAAAACTGATAGTTCAGTGAACAAGTCCTAACAGGCTGAATGCTAATACTTAATATTATGGATTATTTACTTATTTCTTAGTAAAAAGGTATTAACCAGCATCATAAGATTAGTCCTAGACAGTGTCTCCTGTCTGGATCATCATGTTTCAGTTCAGTTTATCTACAGTCACCTCCTAGAGAGGGATAAGCAAGACACCATTAAACCCAGTGCAGAGAGGTAGCAAATTAGGCCTAGAGAAATAAGTGGTTTGCATGGGTCGTATAAGAAATCAAGGACAGGGGCGCCTGGGTGGCTAAGTCAGTTAAGCATCTGACTCGATTTCGGCTCAGGTCATGATCTCAGGGTTGTGAGAAAGAGCCCTGAGTTGGGCTCCACACTGGGCATGGAGCCTGCTTAGGATTCTCTCTCTCCTTCTCCTTCTGCCCCTCATGCTCTTTTGTGCTCTCTCTCTCTCTCTCAAAAAGAAAGAAAGAAATCAAGGACAAAGGTATTGTTAGAATGTACAGTCAGGTCCCAAAGCAAAGATTCTGTCCTGCAGCATATGTTACCTCCTCAAGCCGCCACTGTTTTTCAGCCTAGAAATAAGGAATGTTAGTGGCAAACAGACCAGATAAACCATTTCCTTTTACTGCCAGGCCTGATTTAATTAGGCGATGCTTTAGAGGATACTAGAGGCAATAACCTCATCACCAGTGAGACAAACACTGCAGCTGAAAGCCGAAGCAAGTACTGTCTTGGGTTATTGCTGAGTTAACAGGAAACCTATTGAGTTATTGCCCTCCTGGAATGCCCAGTGACTAAGAATTTTGAAAGCTGAACTGAGGTAAAAATGACTCTATACTGGGAAGGCATAAATGAAAACCAGAGATGGCTAGTTGTTCTGGCCATATGATATAATCCAAAAGCAAAGCCTAACACGCTAGGATTGTACCATACTGAATACAGTACGCTTGGGGGCTTGGGGGGCAGGGGTGGTCCAATACCTCTGAACATCTTGCGGCAACCCCTCTGAAATGGGATGAACCAACACTTGGAAGACAGCAGGACAGACTGCGTGGGATTTCAGCAGGACAGCCAGGACACCCACATTCTCCAGAGAAGGGCTCGGTCAGGTGCACAGGGGATGGCCTGGCCTGTGAACTGCCTGTCAGTTTGGAAGAGGCCCCCCTCCGCCTGGTTGGAGTAGCTGAACGTAGCTGGCTCTTCTGCTGAGGATCTGTAAGGCCTGCTGCGGCACAGATGACAACTGAGCATAGAGTGATTCAGTGCGACAGGAAAAGTGGGTCTCAGGCTCAGGAGAACACACGCGCGCACACGCACGCGCGCACACGCACGGCACAGGGGTAGAACTAAATAAACCTCAAGGGCTCTACCGGCCCCAACCTGACTGAGCCAGGTGGAATGTCTCGTTCACAGCACACCCACAGAAGATCCCTAAGGCCGACTTTTATTCTGAGGAGTGTTCACGAACTGACAGTGATTAATTAATACAGATCTTCTGATGCTTCTCATCAGGAATTACTGGGGCTATTTTACAGAAAATTGGGGGAGCAGTCATGTGAGGAACCACAGGAAGACCCAATTTCACCTGCCCCACTCTCTCCAGAAGCGCTCTTCTGACAGCACATTTCTTGACCTTTAGGGGTTCTTGGCTTTTCCACCAGCTCGTGCTTCGGAGCAGTGAGCAGCCTAACAAGCTGCTGACATTGACTTGCACAGAGGACACTGAAAATAAAATCAGCCTTTCACTGGGGAAAAGGGTTTACTTTCTAGCCAGCTGCTTTGCTGGGTGTGTCGGAATATACTTCGTTTTGCCAAATATAGGTGACAAATTCAGGAGAAACAGCGGTGCTACACACCAGTTCTCTGCTGTTTACCACAAGTGGAGCTGTCCGGCAGGACAGAAAGGAGGGCCCGTCAGCCACACACGTTGTAGGGAGCCCCTTACCACACGGACACACACGACGTCTTACATAAAAGGTCCACCCTAACCCTAAGGGGGTTAAGATTTAAAAAACAAAACAAAACTAGTTCTGTGTAGAAGTGAACTGGTTAAGGTCACTCTGTAGAAGTGACAGCTTCTGTGCTTCTCAAGCTGACGAGGATAAAAACAAGCGCCAGGATCTACTTCTGCCTTTTTTCTTTTCCTTCCACTTCATAGTATATTCAGTGGAAAGGCAGATGGCCCTGACCTTCAGAACAGAAGGTGAAAGCCCACAATAGGAGCCAGAAATCAGAGTTTTACTGTTAGTTCTAGCTATTCCTTAATATTCTGAAAAAAGAAACCTCTGCTAGAAGACCAGCATACTTTCTATATTTATTAAATGTTGCTTGTGCATGGTACTAGGCAAAATAAAAATAATCACCCTGTATTTATTAAATGTAGTCTCTTAAATGTAAGAAATTTTACAGTGCTAAGGCCAAAAGGAACTTAAGGTTCAATTCCATTCCCTGTTTAAGAGTCACTACCTGAAGTAATTCTGCTTGTTAGCTCTGGTGGCTAAATGTTTTTGGCCCTTCTGTGACATTTATAGCAAAAGTCAAAGATGTTCTAAAAGAAAGTTCTAATCTTTTGTTCAGGTTAAATCTTACCTCACCTGGAAGCTCAGTATACAAAAGAGATAAAAGTGGAACTGTTCAGTTCAAAGCAGGGCAGATGGCACGAATGAGCTCCTGAGAAGCCCTGGAACCCACCCACACATGCAAACCACTGCTTTAAAAGAGAAACATCATCAGTGCCCAAAGCAGAAAGAATGAGTGCAAAGGGATTGCTTAGAAGAGTGCCAGGGACTTAGCCCCTCAAGTTCATGAGTCTCTAGCTTTCAAAGAAAAGCCACTTTTCATTTCCTCTGGGTTGTGAGATTGCTCACAGACCAGGAGAAGGGAGGGGCAGTGAGAAGACAGTCGACGTTGAAGAGCTACCAAGTGTTAGTGTGTTGTTGTGGGGGCATCTTTGCACTTGTGACTGTGCAAAATTTCAAGAAACACCACCACTGCCTTCTACTCCCCGATGGGAATCCTGCGAACTTCAGAGAGGCAATCACATCAGGCTTAGAGATCTGTCAGAATCTGTTTGCTAGGGGCCCCTCTGCTACAGTGAGAGCCCAAAGCCCTGACATCTATTTCTGAGTGTTTGACAGTGAAGCTGAACCAGACCGGGCTTCCTAGTGACCCTCAGACAACCCAAGTGACCATTGTTTCTCTTCACTTTGCACTAGCAGAAACAAGAGAAGACCTCTGACCGATCATCAATGCTGGAGATGGAGAAACGGGTATGTGTGTGTTTCTCTCCCCTCTCTGTTTCATCTGAGTTTCTCTGACTTTGTTGTTCATGCCAATGGAAAAAGTTCGTCTTCAGAAGGCGGGAGTTCTGCCACATTCCATTCCCAGCTTGATAATAAATTCTTTTTGTGTGACTCTGGACAGCAGTTTGATTGCTAGTCCTTTTGGCTTCTTCAGATGCTCAGTTCTTTTCACTTATTCCAGTCTTAGGGTGGGAAGTGTCCTTGGAAGGTCATCCCATGCACTGGTTTGGCCTATAGGCAGAACTGCACGCACACACACACACACACACATACCTACAGTATATTTTGGTTTACTGTAAGTTAGCACACACGTACACACCCACGACCAAGGTCTCTTTACCCTTCCCATCACCTTGAACAGAAAGGAAGTTTTCAGCAGGACCCTCTGCCATTGATTTAGGTCTTCTGACTTGAAATATGAGCCAGCAGAATCTTTCCCTCACTCTGACTGGGGGTGGGGAGGGGATGTTCCAGTTCAATTGCTGACCTCCTCCTGACTGCATTCAGAATATTTTTCTGGGATTTGACATTCTTGGATTGGGAAAACTCAGATTTATTGATGAACCCTAGCTGTGATTTGACCCTAGGGGTATAATAGGTTCCCATCTCTCCTGTTTAATTTGGAAAGCAGCAAAGTTTTACAATTTATTTCCTTGGCCTATAACAAAAACTCGTTGGTATCTCATCTAATCTAAGAATCTTTAGAGTTCAGGCTAAATCAGGAGTGGGTTGCTGGGAGAGAGATGGGTTCGGGGGAAGGGTGCTGTTTCTTCCTAGACAATGATGGCTACTTCCCCACTCACCATCTGCTCCCCATCATGGGAGAAGCAGCTCCTTAGGAATTTGAGGGGAGCGTTCCTGAAGATAAGGATGCCTTTTATTAATAGAGAGCAGGGGGCCCTGGTCACTTGGAGTCATTTGAAATATTCCATGAGATCTTCAGCTTGCACAGAATAGCCAGAGTACCCTGATGCTGCCATTTGTTTAACTTTAATATTCTGATGGGAGATTTATGTCCTGTGATTTCTCTCAGTGAAGTAGTATCATCCCACGGATCAGATAGTGCTTAGTCTCCTGCATGAGGTTTGCCTGAGACGTGGCTCTGCTGATCACATGTCAACCAGGAGGCAGCATTTTGACTCCCTTCTAAACCCAGTAGATGTTCAACAGTCTCCTTGTTTCTCAACAGGAGAGGCGAGCCTTGGAGCGGAAAATGTCAGAGATGGAGGAGGAGATGAAGGTATGGAAAGATCTCCTTTCTCTCTTTGTGTGCCCGTTCCCCAAATGCCTGCCAGGACTGGGTGATTGAGCCTAAGCCCACCCCTCCAGATTTCACCACACACTCCACCCCCTCAAGAAGAGAGGATGTGTGAAGAGGAGCTGAGCATCTCTCCTCAGCCATTTCATAGGCCCTCTCAGATCACACAGCATCCCCTCTGGGCACCTCGCAGCCCTTCTGGGAACCAGTGCTGCCTCTGGTTTAAGTGGGGGGAGGGAGGAGGTATCTGCAGACTGGAGACAAACCTAAGTTGAACTTCTAAGATTTTCCAAGCAGTAGTTTCACCCTCAGGGGCTGGATGGAAACGCTAAAACAAGGGTCCCAGCTCTGCAGGCCTCACATGAGGTGCCTGGGGAAGCCTGAACACGACCAGAGACTTTCCTGCCTGGTGCGTCTCCCTGTCTCAGCCCTTCACTGGAAGGAACACAGTTTGAGTCATTCTGCAGCAGAATGCAGATTAATTCACACATCGATTTCCTGCCCCAGCCCATTTCACCTGAAATACTCAGTAATATTCGGTACTCGCCCACTAGAATCAGCTCATGCCACCAGTTACACCTCACGGCTCACTGCTTTCCTCTCTCCCTTCACCATGCCCTGCAATGATCAGCATCTCCATTAGCCACTTTAATGAACAACTGCCATCCTAGGCAGCTTTGAGTGCTGAGAACTGGCAGTCGACCCAGAAGAGTCAATTCCCTGCTGTGGAAGAGGCCTGCAGAGCAGTAGGGAACATAGAGCTGCTCGGGATAGCCACCTGGGGATGATGTGGAGCATCTGAGCCCTACAAGTGCATGATGCCACATGCCCATAATGACCTAGCGCTTGCTCAGCTTCAGTCTTTTTTTTTTCCTTCAAGGATCTTATTTTACCAGATGTATGATACAAAGCATTCATCTGGTGAAACTCCGGTTTCTTTACCTGCAAACCAGAAGCACTGGGGTAGAGGCGGATCTCCAGGGCTCTTGCTCTGAGCAAGCATCCCTAATATGCGATAAGAGCACTTTAGGAGAGACATTTATTATTACAATGGCCAAAAAAATACATAGTTATTTACTAAAAAAAAACTTCTCGGGACCTGAGAAGGTCCAAGTTTACACAAGATCCAATGCTCATAGTCCCGTCACTCTTTATATAATTCCAGAATAAGGGAGATGTGCCCTGCCCTTGAGTTCTATAGTCACCATTCCAAGGCCGTAACTGATCGCATTCACATAGAGTTTCAAGCAATACCTACTTATATCTCCAAAAAGTGGCACTTATATCTTTCAAGTTGATGTAAAACAGCAAGAGTAGAAATAATTAATGGTTGATTCTCCTACGATAAAAACAGGATGACTCAACACCCTTAGCTTCTCCATCTTCTGGTTTTTCCAGATCCACCTCACCTACCGCACAGAAGTATTTTCTATCATTTAGAGAAGTATGTTAGTAGAGCTAAACAGTTCTTGATGAATGAATATCCACAGCTCTTGGTTGCACTGGGGGTCCCTCCATTTCTGAAACCCCTTGAGTGATACCATCTGTACTCTGCTGTTAGGCAGCTGTCAGTGATGCTCCTTAAGGAATAGCCTAAATGCTGATCAGGAGCATGTAAAGGAGGCCAAAGCTGGTGCCTTCTAATGAGTACCCAGGAGCTCAAAGCCAGCCCAGACGCACTAGTCACGGAACTCTGCACCACGTCTGCCCAGGCCCTCGCACAAAGACCCAGAAAGTCTCCAAGTGAAGCAGTTGAGGTCCTTCTTTATTTCTGTTCCAATCCTAAATTGCCAGGCATGAGAGCCCCTTCATTGGTTTCAGTTGCTCTCAGTTCTATGGTTTGAGACAGGCTTACATATTTCTTTCTCCCTATCCTGCCAGGCTAGGATTTCCTAAACTAGGTCATGAGTTCCTTTCTTTCCTCGGTAGAGATCATAATACATGAAGGTGTTTGCTCCCTCAGCTTTAAGTCGTTTGCCAGTCAACTTCAAATTCAGTTGTTTAAATTATCAAATGGAGCCAGATCCTGGCTGTTTAGACCTCAAAAAATAGGTACACCAATTTGAAACTGTTTTTTGTTGTTTTTATTTTCGCTAAAAAACGGACACATTCAGTCAGTTGCCATTATTCTCCATTACCAATTGCAAAGCCAAATGGAGAAGAAACACCTGCAGGTTCTAAAGCCCCTAAACACCCTTTGCTCAGATAAAGCCCAATACCAGGTTTACGAATCGTCCAGCTCCCCCTAGAGGACAAAGGGGGAGGAACATAACAAGCTTGTAGCCAACGCCAACTTGGTTTGTGTCTGTACCTTGAGATAGGCAAAAACTTCAGATAGATAGATACAGACATCATAAAATTGATGTCACTGGCCTTAAAGGAGTCTAAGAAGCTGCTCGGGTAGCTTTCAAGTCCTTCTTCATCCAGGCTACAGTTTGTGGTAATCAACATCTTGGGAATGATCAGTGGTCAAAATCTCTGTTCTAGGCAGCCAGTCCACTGCACAGGTAACTGTCTTATCGAATCTGGGACCCAGTAGAATTAAGGGCCAGTTAGCCCCCATGCCTGTTGCATATTTGGTTTATACAGATGCTCAAACCTCTTGGAGCAGTCAGTAGGGGGCAGGTTGAAGGTTGACCTCCGGTGAACCCCGAAGATCCAGTAGGTGCTCAAGGACAGAAAGTGACTCTGGTGCCTGTTTTTCTGATTCTGGCAAATAAAGTGCAAAGTCAGGTGAAATGGGGAACCCTGAGATGGGCTCGCCCAGATGTACGTGGAGCCCTGTGCTTGTGACATGGGTTGTGTCTTTCTGGCCTTACAAGAGAGGTAAGTATTTATGAGTTCTCCCCAGGACAGACTGCACTCCGATCCTGGATTGGAGTAGGATGGTGTGCCAGCCTCTGACAGGCATGCGTGTCAGCGTGAGCTGTGCGAGGCTGCACTGGGTCTTGCCCCCATCAGACCTGATGACGTTTCTACTGCATCCTCCATTCAGCTTCGGCCTCTTTCCCGGACCTTTTCCCTGCCTCTCCCAGGTCCTTGCATGAGGGGCCCAGCAGCCACTCCCCTTTTAGATTGCTCTTGGAATTTTTATTTTTACTTACTCTGGAAATACCACTAGCTGATCCTGCCCTTGCCCACCCTGCTCTGTGCCCTGCCCACCCCTCCATCTTGCTGTGCCTTGTTTTCAGTACTGTTTCCTATGGAACATTCCACCAGATTGTTTCCTGCCTCTCTCCCTCATGCTGATAAGTTCCAAATTCTTCCACCTCGATCTGCGTGTACTCACATGTTAGATTGAATCATTTTCATAGTTCGTGTCTTTAATATTACTCCCTAGGAGGCAAGGACCATTTCATATAATGACAATGATTATGTTGAAAGCTTTGGTCCAATGTCAACACCAAAGAAGGGTGAGAGCCAGGGACTTTCCATTGGTTCTTATGTTTGGTCCCCGCCCATTTCTTTAAATATTTCCATATGCTGCACCATGATCTCCTCTGATCTCAGTCCTCTGCATGGCTGAGATGCTTGCAGAGGGTAAGGAGCATTGCCTGGTCCTTACCCTTCAATGGCAACATGGAAGTGTTGGGCTGCTCTGCCTTTTTTCCAAGGTGCTCATTCTCTCTCTTTGGGGAAAGAGATATTCAGCAGTTTGTCTCTGCTCGTTTTTCCTTTTCACTGTTTTTTCCCCTTCATGCCACCTTTCATTTTCTTGCTTCTTCACTTCCAACTATAACTCCACTAATCCTTCATTTCTGTCCCTCACATCCATGTGGGTATGAGAGACTTTCTGGTTTGCCATCACTGTAATCCACAGGATTTTTCATCTTCCTCTCTGAAGCCCCATTTGCATAATACAATCCTTTTCTTCCTCCCAGAGAGCTGATGGTCTCGGTTATAGGTCAGTACAGATGACTACTTAGGCAAGGGTAGTAACGGTAAGCAGGCCTGTGATGTAATGTTATTTATTGAAGTCTTTAGGTCCTTTATGGGCTATGAGGTATTAGGAAGAATATCTGTGGACTGGTTATTCTGTCCCGTTTGTAACACTTAACAAATAGTGAGGTCTGAACTAGTACATCAGCCCAACCAATTCCATTATCTTGGACATTTATGATTTCTCCAACTGTTGTGCACAGCTGTAATTTTCAGAGTATGAGTCTATATGTGAACACCTCCAGGCAGCTGCCCGCCTCTTTATGAGCTGGGACAAAGAGAGCATAGTTAGCTGTGAATTTCATGATGCAGGTAGTCCTATAGCAGGTCAAGGGCGGGTTTGCAGTTCTTGGATCCTGGAACAAGCATCTGGACTGCAGTGGAGAACTAGCAGGGTTAATGAAGCATCCTACAAAACAGGTTAGAGGACCATGCAGACAGCTGCCAGTCTCTTATCTTGTATGTGCCCCTTCAACGTTCTAAACAGTACGTGCCTCGTACAGAAGATACTTAAACAACAGGCCCCCCTTTTATTTTCCTTGTTTCACTTTTTTAAAATATAAAGTAAGAGAAGGACCCAGAAAAAAAACAAAAAAACAGGAGTAGGGGGCCAAGTATGGGGCAAGATGAGAGGAAGGAGGAGAAAAGGGCCTCAGCTGGATTTAGGAACACACAGAGTCCTCAACTCCAGGTCCCATTGACGATGAAGAAGGGCCCCTGAGGCTGTGGCTCAACTATGCTAAATCAGTTCAGAAGGCCCCGAGCCACACAATGGTCTGTCATTCTCAAAAGCCATCCACATGTGCTATTTGAGAGCGTGGTGGTTGTATTCATATGGCTGACCTGCAGCATAGTTAGACCTTAGCCAAGAATCATAGGCCCGGCTCTCCCCCTCATTGGTGCTTTTCTCCCTTCTCCCTCCCCTCATCCTGCACCATTACTCCTGCCTTTCTCCTTTCCTTTCTTGCATGCCAACTAAAAACAAAAACAAAAAGTCATGTGATTTCTTTGTCCTACTTTTCTCTCTCCTGGTCTGTCTTGTC